GAAATGACTTCTCTTAAAAAGTGCACATGTGAGCGAGTTCACTTGAAGTCCATTTCATTTTAATGGAAAGTTGAAAACAAAGTTGAGTACAGTAAAAGCTCCGTTTTCCAGCATGAGTGGGGAGCAGGGGGTGCTGGGTATCTAAAAACACCGGTTACCTGAGGCACAAGGGTTTCCGGCCGCATGCAGAGCAGTGGGTGACACAGTCGCATGCAGAGCGGCAGAAGCACAAGGTGGTAGCTGCTGCGTGGGAGCTTTCCCCGCTGTGTCCAACCAGAAATGCCAATTAGTAAAATACTGGATAACAGGGCTTTTACTGTATTTGTTATTGCAAATCCTTTCTAGAATACTTAATAACATAAGCCATTAAAATCATCTGCACCTCAGCTCCATGTGTAGTGGCCTCATTGTATAAGTATTTGAAATTGCTACAAAACAGTCTTATGTCAAGCATTAAGGGCCCAATCCTGCAATGCTTCTGTATTTAAGAGCAACAAGATATTTTAGGTGAAAAAAGCCCTGCAGGATTGAGCCTATATATTTACCTTTTCTTACTCTTATCACAGTAGTGCTTATCCATACTACCTGAAACATTTGAATCTTCAGCCAAAAAAACTGATGCCCTTTTAAAGTCAGCCTTCTTAAAAGTAATATACCGATAAAATCAGGAGACGCCATTCCTATACTACTGCTAATAAAAATCTAGCATAAAATTTATTACAAAGATTTGTTCACTTGGAACTTTCAAGGTGCCTGTGTTATTAGAGTATAACAACATACAGTACTTAGAAGCAATAACATAGGCTTTTCTTCATTTTTTTAAAACATTTTTACTGGACTGTAAGGAGGTTGTTGCATAATTTTTTTTTTAAATCCTATTGCAAATACCCTATCTGCACCAAAACTTTAATTTATTTTAGAACTGTGTAAATGTGGAGTTTGGTTTTACCTCTATATAAGATGTGCACAGAGGACTCCACTTCCGTTGGAACTGCTTAGGCAATCTTGGGTACAAGTTTCCACGAGGAAAATTGCCGAGTTTTTCTTCCAAAACAATGAAGTGAACACAAAGGCATATGCATTTACAGGAACACCCTCTCCCTACCCAAGACCCTCACACACTCAAAACCAGCACATTTCCAATACGAAGTTTTATCTTACTCAAGCACAGAAACATCCTGAGCCTAAGCAACACTACAGGAACAACTTGAAACATTAATAGAAAAGACACAAGGACCATCTTTTTTGGGGGTACTCTTAAGAGAAACATTTCAAAGCGTTGTACCTTTTGTAAAAGTTCAGGCAGGCAGCAGTTAAATACAAAGTCAAGTCTATGGACGAACAAGATCCTTGTTCAATGGTTTTAAAGATTTTGCTGAGAGATCTTCCAGGTTTTTCCTGCTTTGCTGGTCATTTATTTGTAGCCAAGCAGAACTCATTATCAAACAAGGTTTCCTTCCATAGTCTTTGAGCTTGTGTTAGTTTTCCACTGAATGAAATACAATATGAAAAGCACACGGAACCAGTCTTCAACCTCTCAGTTGCAGCCAGGGATGTCGTGGATCTGTGGAAAGCGGGTGGGTGCTGAAGAATTCTTGCTACAATAGCACCAGTCAGGACCTGTTGCATTTTCAGAGGACTCCAGCTGCTACATTTTTTTTTTTTTTTTAAATATTAATTTCGCAGTTTTAACTCCGCAGTTTCATTAACAGAAAACTCTGTTAATGAAGTACATAGGACCCTTGGAAAGATGATGGAAGAAGCAAGCCCACTCCGTATTATTGAATATTTACTCTCATAAATTTTCAGCTCCATAAAAAAAAAAAAACAAACAAAAACAGAAAGCAAGCTTATTTGATCTCAAATAAAAAAGGCCTGCTTTTAGGTTTATGTACACAATAAATTATATCCATGTAAATAATAAATTAAAGCTAGCAAGCACTGCTAAAAACATACCTGACCACTTAGAGGCAATAATAAATGAACACAACTGAATTACAACATTTAAGTGTGTTGAATTTTAGAACTATGCAAGTACAGAGCCTGTGACGTTTCTTTAGCATTGTTTTTCTACTCCTGTTCTATTATACCCAGTCCATTAATTTACCTACCAATAATTTAAACATTAAGAAATGGAGATGGTCTGAAGATTGGTCACCATCAACCGGCCTTGATTTCGTTTAATGTGCCCAGTTTTATAGAAACTGGAACAGAACTCTCAGTGAACTCTTGGGGCCCACCTCCACAAAGGTATTTAGGCATTTAACTCCCATTGACTTCAAGAGGAATCAGGCATTTAAATACATTTGTGGATCAGGGCTGTGGTCCTCAACACTTATGTCAGACTTAAGAAAAAAAAATTTTGAGCAAGTCTGACCCTGATGCCAACTGCATGCAGATATGCTAACGTGCATTTGATTGGATTAGTTTGGACTTCCTCCTCATTTTAAGCCTTCAAAAACGTGTCTTCTCCAACTGTGGTTTAAAACAAAGTAATTACTTTTCTTTCTCTCTTTTTTTTTTTTTAATTGGCCAAATGGGATTGTCTTTATTTTCTTTCTAATCTTTGAATTCAGAAAGAATTCACAAGACTAGAGAAAAGAATGGGATTGAACACCTGTAACAAATAATGTGGTTTGTTGTGCCAACTGACACTGTTTTTTTCTTTTAGGTAAAAGCACATAAAAGTTTTTGGACTATGTTTTAAACCCTACTGAAGAAAAGTTCATAATCATTTTTTTAATGAAATAAGCTGTGCACAGAGTTTCCCAGAAAAGACCTAATCTGCCCAAGAACATGGAAGCCATGAAATCCATTTCTACAATACTGTGTGGAATGCAAAAACATGTTAGTGGTTCGTTTCCACAATCTGCATGCAAGAATTGTCCAACCTTTTCTTATGAGTACGTTTCCCTGTTACACTGCTCAAACCACGTGGCCATGTACAGGCATCTAGCACTCCAAAGGTTCTACACACAGCAAGGAGGGGGAAACCATATTTGTGGCCTGCTTTTTTCTTGCTAATGCAGATAGTGACCTGAAAGAGTATTATACTGTGGGGAAAGACATGCTTTCCAAAAAGAAATACCACTGACATCTTGCAAAACTATGAGGATTAGGGACCCAATGTAGTGGCTAAACCTGCTGGGTTTTCTTAGAATAAAGCTGCAACTTTTGTTATAATTCAGATGCCATGGGGTGAAGGAGAAAGGACGTAAAGGATAAACATGCAATGTCACAGCAACTGTTTCCAACTGAAATTAATGAGAAAAAAAGACCTTTGGCTTCAAAAAGTTTCGAATTTGGAATACTGGACTAATCCTTTTGCCTTGTCCTGCGACTTCCCCTGCAGCCACTATAAAACTCTTACACTGAAGCACAGGATTGGGATGGCATCAAGGAGACGGTCAAAAATAAGTTCTACTACATTTTCTCATGTACAACGTTCCACTGAATAGAGTATGCACCTTGTTTTTGAATGGCAGAATGATGGGTGGGGAACTATTTCCTTGAAACCCCCCCCAGGGGGAGTAGGAAGGGAGGTGTAGAGAAAGCCTGTGTCCACAACCAGTAGCTAGGGTGCCCTACATGCAGCATTGGTACAGCTTTACTTTCACTTTCCAGGGCTGAGGCTTAAGTAGAAGAAACTGCCATATTTCATCAATTATAAATGTGCACCCCAATTTCCAGCAGCTGAATTTTTGATGGGAATCATGATTGTTGTATACAAAAATACAGTATTTGATACGATCAATGTGGCTGCTTAATCATGTCCCTTAAACTACATGCAACTCTGCATTTATCTTCCCTTACTGCCTACAACCCCCAACCTCTTGGTTTTCTCTACAGAAGCTGCTTAAAGTTTCATCACCTTTATTTCTTAACACAGCATAGAAAAAATAGGAAGAAGCTGTGCTTTTTAAGAGCTCTTAAAAGCTGAACATATACTTTAACCCTTAGAAAACATCACTTGATGAAGATCAAAAGATGCTCATCTATTACAAAAGAATGAGTTTGGAGCTACTGTTGTGGCCTGAATAAATTTCCTCCATGCCACTAAAGTTTGGTGGGCTCTTTTCAACATATGCAAATGAGAAAAAGAGACATGCATCAGACACCACAAATATTTCTAAGAAAGGGGAACAAGCTGTTTTCTTGTAGGAGTGTTTATGATTCGTTCCTTGGGTGACTAATATGTCGAATTGCCAAAAGGAACTATACACATCAGATATATGTGGGCTGTGTTAACCCACATTTTAGTAACTGGCACACACTACTAACTGGAATTACTGGCCAACTGGCCAGATGCAAGGGGGGTGGACAGGGGGGGAGCTTGCATGCCACTGCTGCCACCCACCACCCTGTGCTGCTGCTGCTCCACATCCAGCCGCTGCCTCCCCCCCGTTAGATATCTGGCATGAGTGGGGAATGGGGGGATGCCGGTAAACATCTTTTACTGTAATGAGAAACATCAGCTTTAAAAAACACTCTGACCAGAAGAATAAAGTTGTTAAGAAGGGAAACACCTCTTGCCAAAACTCAGGAGGAAAAGGTTACTATTGACCAATATGAAGAGCCTCCAACTAATGACAAAAATTGCATTGCAATGCTGAAAAGTAAGGATTTACAAATGAGCAAAACTGAAAAAATATCCAAGCTGTCTTTTGATAAACAGTAGCAAGGAAACACTGAATCACAGTTATGCCCCAACTTCAAAAAAAAAAAAACATACTAGACAAACATTCTGAGTTGTATTTTGCAAAAATAAACAAAAACCTTACTACCATTCTAGGCAATTCAGTCTCTGTTAAAAACTGAAGCAAGAAAAAATTCTTTATGTGCAAATTAAAATCAACAACATCAGTAAGATTCTACTGTGTAGTTTCTGACTCGTCATTCCTTCGTCATCTACTTGCCCACTTCCTGGTCATCTGTGCATCTTGGACTTGGTCTACACAGATTCTGTATGACTACTAGTCATAGGTGCTATTTTTTTAAAAACCTAAATAGTATCTACAGTGACACCCCCTTCCCATACAAGAATAATTTATAATGAACACGCATTTTTAGACCAGTTTTGGAGCTTCCAAGCTAAGACAGCTGTAGTACAAGCAAGCAATACAATCTTTGTAATCACAGAAGATCTCAGTATCTGAAGTCAAAAACATTTATATTTTCACCATTCTTTATTTGGTGGACTATATGGGAACACTGCCTCTCAAAGTTAGATAGACCCCAAAAATCTGCTCTTCTAATCTTACTTTCTTCAGGAGCACCACATCAGGCAATAGAAAGAATAAACTCCCAATAAGGATATTATACAGAAGTAGCTTATTCAAAGCAAACCGAATTACTTCATTGCATAAAAATCGTTTAGTATATGATTTAGTAGCACTTTTGCTACCTCTAGGAATTCACCACAAAAATATGCAACAAGTTCAGTTTGTAAATATCCTACAGAAATTATGCAATGCTTCCTAGATATTTCATAAGGTGTAGTTAGTTTTATTTCTCCCTTTTTGGTAAAGTATACTGATTTTTTTTTTTTAAATTGTAACTAACAAGATTGTAAGAGTTAAAAAATTGTAACTCTGTTTTAAACACATTACAATTTTCCCTATAATGTCATAACAAAATGGTTTTTAAAATCTTACTTCAGTAAGTAACTGGCTGGTCTAGTACCTCAAAACCCTTCAATTATCAGAAATAAGCCAAGAAAAATACAACCACCTTACAGCATAGGCATAAACAACAGGAAAATTACTGACTTTAAAAACGCTTATGCCTTTAAAAACCTTAACTCCTATTTTGATTTGGCTGACTTTGAAGTTAGGCTCATTAGCACTCTAATGAATGCATTTTAGTTATGCTCATTAGAAAAACTAACTTTGAAGTTAGGCTCAAGAAATGTACTATTTTCAACAATGGATGGTGTCAAAACCACAAGTTATATAGTGACTAAAATGTAGCTTTGTTTTTGTAAAGATAACGGCCCCCGCATCCCAAACTCACTCCTTTCCATTCCTTTTTTTTTAATTGAAACAGATGACTATTAGAAATCCTTTATTAATTTTCATATTTTTGAGGTTACTTCAAGTCAGCAGAAGTACTTCCCCTTAATCTACCTATCCATATCAATTTACATTTTAAGGATGAACGAGTCAAACCGTTATTTTTCCAAAAAGTTATTTCTCTGGAGTTCTAAGCTTCTATTACGTCTTCGCTAAGAAATACACTAGAATTTATTGCTTTTACTTTCCCATTTCTTTACAAATGTTATATAGAGTGATTAAACAGAAGTAGGACTTCCAAGAATACAAACTTCTACAAGAAGTCTCTTCTGACAAGCCTTGAATTTCTGTTTTTACAACATGCATGTCACCCACTTACACAAGTGTCATTACTATTTGCATATGAGATGTGACTCTTGGTAGAAAATCTTGCTCCAAATCTTGAAACAAACTTATTTCCATTTTAGAGAACCTCCAAAATGACTAAAAGTAGAAGGCATTCAGCTATAAACCCAGTGCAAATATTATGTGTGTCAGGCTCAAACCTCCAAAATAAGTCTTCAAACATACAAAAATAGTTTGTGGCTTTTTTAAAATCATAAGTTTTAGTCCATGAAACCTTGCAATGTTTTTGCTTTACTGCACTTGTTCTGTTCAACATCCTCCTAACCAAAATAAGTTAACACAATCATTTCAATTGGCTGCCTACAGACAGGACAGGGCTTATTCCGCTTTTTTAGTTTCCGTGCACATGTAAAACATGACATGAGATGCCCCGTCTTACCATGTACTATGCAGCCATTTTTTGGTCTACTTTGACATATAACACAGGGCTCTATGCTGGTAATAGGTAGAGTGGATTCTGTATTCTCCTCTTTCTCTTGTGACTCTTTGTCCTCTTGACTGCTACAGAAGATATTGCTAGATGTAGATGGCTGAGAGTACTCGCTTTCCTGAGATTCAGAGGCTTGTACTGCAGTGTCATCACTTTCTTCAACATCTGGCCCTTTGCCTTCATCCATCTTCACCTTCTTACAGTCTGGAACATCAAAACCTTCTTCAGGTTCAAGCTGAGTGGAACTTTTTAATTCGCTCTTTTCCAATATGAGGTTCTTTTCATCAGGAAGCCAGTCCTCACGAAGAGCCCAGCATCTGTGACAATGCCGTGGGAGAGGTGGGTTCATTTCACTACACTTAGGGCACTTCCAATAATCCTTCAGTGAATTGAAAGGAAAAAATAGTTAAGTCTTTTGGCATTCCTACCATTAGAACACTTCTAGATTAGAGAAACTGCTACTGAGAAAATATTTATTCATAACTGTTGTAAACACAAAGGTTACTCACTAACTGCTTTGAAATATCTGGCAAGAGCTTTGGATAGATCAAAGTTTAAATAAATTATACCGGGATTCTATTTTTAAAGGCAGAAATAGGCAAGAAATCATCTTTACTTCCAATTTGCCATGTGGGAGGAAAGAGACAAAAAAGTCACCCCCTTTTAAAACTAAATGGGAATAACAACACTGAAAAATACCATTATGCAGGCAGTGTGCCAAAAATAACTATCATAGACACAAGACTCAAATCTATCCTATATACTTAAAAAGCTCCAAAAACCTGATCTTTTACCACTCAAATGCAAATTTGCACACTGGTCAAAAACTCTCATGTGTGTCTATATTTCCAAAGGGGACTGGAGCATGAGCGTGTTGGGAGGGAAACTATTCACAAATGGAATTAGAAGCTGCAAGCATTTCTGAGGAAGTTAAAATTATGATATAATTATGCTAAGACCAAGCATACACAAGTGTTGGTTACACTTGAAAAAAAAAAATTAATACACATTAAGGTAAGAAAATACACAAGGTATCCAACCAACGTCAGCTGTCTTTTAATGATTCTATTTAACTAGCTTAACAACAGATTGTGGCTCCATTTCAGCTGGTAGGCTGCAGTAGGCAAGACTGGAACCCTTTTCCTATTCTTCAAATTCACCGCATCTGGTTACCTTTAAAAAAAGAAGTCTCTGGCTGGTAGAATTACTGAGATGGGTTTACACTTTCAAAGCTAATGTAACTGATGCAGTGATGACCATCTATATTCTAAACACCCAAAACAACAACTAAGGGCGTGAACTGACTCACTCCTCTTAGTACATGCCAATTCACTCATTCAGCTGTAGCATTAAAAATGTCAACTTTGTTCTGAGTACACGAAGAGTATTTTTACTTATTCTGGTAAAGTTGTTAGACAATACCAGCAGAGTTTTGCTAGTGCAGATTTGGCTTACACTAGCAAAGCTAGACTTTTTACTGATACAGCTTATTCTGCCAACATACAGACCAAGCAAAACAAGCTATACCAGTACAAGCAGTTTTGCAGTGTAACTGTTCCTCTCCATGGAAAACTTTAGTAAAAGGCAAAACATGTATGCAATCTCAAGATATTACACTGTGGTTTTTTACAGGACAGCTGTCAGCCAAAAATGGTATATTTTAAATGCTATGGATGTCACTGTGCCGTAAGTCTGTAGCAAAGACATGGCTTTACTGTTGAAACTAGTGGGGGGTCATACTTTTTGGAAGGTGTGCCATAATTTAGCCTTCAAGAGAAGGTAAGCCCAACCCAGCAGGGTATAGGAGTTCTCAAACTTAGAGAAGGCAAGCGTGCCTCTCAGAACGGGACTGAGGCCAGAAGCATGTAAGATCCTATTCTGAACATCTGCACAACTGGCAGCAAGTGCTGCATCAGGCAGGTGCTTGCACTTAGCAATAAATCACCACTATTTTTATGAGTTGATTTAACCCCATTTTCTAATGAATTCATTTTAGTGTTTGTGGCTCAGACTAATCTAGCAAGCTTTTATTTCTCCCTCCTAACAGTATTAATAAATATTTGGGATTAACATGTATTTTCTACCATTATTTTTTTAATTGACAGTTTATCTACAAAAATAAATTAATACAAAAAAACAAATACCCTCCTTAGAGAAATTTGTGAATGCCTACATAACAGCTGCTCTCTCTATTATTCCCAATGGACACATGGTCCTAAACCAGCAGCTGATGTCTCCCACTGTTCCCAAGCACAGAGAGAACAAGTTAACATCTCTGTATTGTCACGAGATGGAGAACACTGGTTACTCAAGACGAGTGGTGCTCAACCTCTGGCCCATGGGCTGAATCTGCCCGGGGGCTCCCCACATTTCCAGAAATTTGGCAGCAGGAGAACAGTGGCAGTATTAATTGCTACAGCTTCCAGAGCTGGGCTGGCGCATCAGACTGCACCCATGGACTGACAGCACGCTGGACTGGATCGGACCTATGGACTCTCATCATGGACTGGCCCCATCAGGCTGGAAGGTTAACGCCGCTGCTCAAGACTATGGAATATAGATGCTCTTCTCCGAAATGACCAGCAGAGGGCAGTCTGTGACTTCAGTGCCACTGCAAACCAGCGACAGCAGCCATTTTAAGAGTGTAGTTTTCTGTAGCACTCTGTTGTAAAACCTTATTCTTTAGTCTGAAGGAGAGGCTCTTGCATTTTCAAGAAAACCTGAAAGTGACCTTTAATGTTGTAAGAAATTTTTCAAAGAAGTGACCCAACACAGAGGACGAATAACTAAGTCCTGTGGGATGGCTATTATTCAGGACCCAACACAAAATAGCCCGACACCAAATGCTAGCATTTCCTAAAAGGACCCACTTCAACTAATATACATATTGATAAAAATACTTCTCTCTATAGTCCAAGAGAAAGTATTGTCATTGTAGAGAGGGGTTTGCCCTGCACTTTGCATACATAACGAAGGCTGAAACTTCCCTTATGTTCAAAGCTCACCCTCAGACTCATAGAGCTGCAAGTGGCTACAACATAATGAGAAGGCTTCAAACTATTTTGGATGTTACCTCTTACTCAGATTTGAGCTGTGGAGAGGAATTATAAAGTACATTTGTTTTTTCATTCTAAAATAACTTAAATATTTTAAGTCTCACATTTAAAAAGAATCCTTAAACTCTAGGCAGGGAACTTACACAAAAATGAGAAAGATGGAAAGAAGTTAAAAGGTGCAGTTAAAAATGTAAAACACCTGCCAACAACCTGGAAGCTGTTTAAAAAAAAAATCTGTATTAGAGGCTCAGGAAAAAAAGTGTACGCTGTAATTCAAAACAGGTACCACGCAGTCCAATTAAACTCTTGAATGGTTTAACAGCAGAGTTAGGAGGCCATCCAAGGCAAAAAGGTATCCTTAAAAAAAAAAAAAAAAAAAAACTAGCTCAGTGTCTAGCTGGCAG